TGAGTGACTGCACCATTAGTGCTGGTATTGAGGTTTGTTGATTCCGATCTGAGGCCAACCATGGGATTACTCTATGAGGCACTAGACCGTGAAAAATAGGCTATTAGGGACAATTGTAGATTTTATGAAAAGGTTTGGAAGATTATTGACTTGAGGTGGACCATGCAGTTGCATCACCATATACATGCAGTAGGTAACTCTAATTTTAGAGTTTTATTTTATAATTTACTGCTGATTTCTTATTCTTATTGGGATATCTATGTTTATGTTTACACTGTTTTCAGGCTTCTTCTTTAACCTGGATTATTATTATTATAGACCGGGTCAGTGCAACTACCTAGAAATCATGAGAGATGTGAGGTACATTATTGAGAGAATGGAGCCTGATGAAGAGTCCCAAATTAATGCGTTGAAAGATGTAAGTTTCAATCAATACATTTTAATAGTTAGGCCATAATGTAGTTTATTGTGCAACATTTTATTAATTATGTTGAATTTTTGTCTTTTAGCTTCTCATGTATATAGATGCACGTGGAGAAATTGATACTACCATGGCTATAAAGAAGAAAAGCACCTTAGATCCAAGTCAGTCAACAAATTTTATAAATTACAATTTTTTAATTTAACTAATTATGGGATAATTTCATTTCTCATTTTAATTATAAATTGATTAATATTCTAACTTATTTTGTGACAGCTACATGGTGGGATTTATATGGACTCCAAACCCCATATCTAAAGAAGATCGCAGTCATGGTACTAAGGCAAACCTGTTCGTCCTCTAGATGCGAGAGAAACTGGAGCACGTTCTAATGGATTCATACCCCAAGAGGAACAGGTTGAAGATTGAGAGGCTGCATCAGTTGGTTTATGTGCACTATAATCTCAACCTAAGGCAAAAAATGCTAGAAAAGGAACCCACAAGTTATGACCCAATTAACCTAGACGATATATTCTAAGAGGACCTCACAGAAGAATGGGTAATAGAGGAGGAGCAATGAGAGGGGCAGCCGCTGACAGTGAACACAGAGTATTTACAAGAACAAGTTTAAGATTTAGGTGAGGATGTGGAAGACGTGGGGAACATCCAGGAGGACATTCATGTAGACAGCAGGAGAGAGAGGTGGGGGGGCAGGCGGGCGTGTGAATGGTAGACGAGCTAGGGGAACTACCACTTAAGAGGAGGACCAAGGTAGTTGGTATGCATATGCAACAGAGAGACATAGCTATAGAGATCGCAGCCCATCTAGTCAATGTTGCAGCAAGCTTTATGCCACCATCGGGGCAAACAACACAGTCAGGTGCTGAGGTGCAAGGTGATGCTAGGGAGGGAGACAAACCAACTGGGAGGGAGCATGAGGGCTAGATAAGTTTTTGGGATTATAACTTATATAACAATTTATCAAATGTTCCAGATTGGCAAGGGGCACAGCGACGATAGGGATGGCTCCCTCATTGTTACAAATTTTCCCCCAACGCCCTCACTCTGATAGTGAGACTCAAGAAGAGCCTTTACCCCATTTTTACTCATCTTTTCCTAATGTTTTTTTGTGTTTTGATTTATTAAAGAGATGCATGTTAGATGAAATTTTATCATAGAAACATATTTCTTTAGTGAACAAGAGAAATTATTATAATTAGTCATATGTAGTTACATCCAAAAATAAATGTCACTTTTGCTAGAGTGTGCATACATTTTTATCACTTTTGGGGTTTTTAGACCTCACGATATGTAAGTTTTTTACTATATTTTCAGAGTTATCAAAAAAGGAGATCCAAAGCAAGTAGTAATTATGAAAAAATGAGGGGTCATTTTTTTAGAATTCACATGATGTAAGAATTTTTTCTTTTAGAGAGTTAAGAGAGAAAGAGTTCCAAAAAAAAATGCAGCCCCCCCCCCAATCGAACTCAATACCACTTATAAACTCACACAACATGAAATTTTGTTTAAGAGGGTTATGGAAAAAGAGCTCCAAAATAAATCCAATCCATTAAGAAATATAGAGTTAAAAAATATATTTTTTAACAGAGTTATGGAAAAAAGAACTCCAAAATAAACCATTGAGAAGTAAAGACCAAAGGTACTAACCAATTTGCCACACAACCGCAATAACAATGGTGGCCGGCATTCTATATAGAAGCTAGTCTTTATTTTCCCTAAATAAAAAATAACCGTAGTAACAATGGTGGCCGGCATTTATATAGAGCTAGTCTTTATTTGCTCTAAAGAAAAAATAACAATAGTAACAATGGTGGCCAGCATTTTATTTAGAGCTAGTCTTTATTTGCTCTAAAGAAGAGATAATCGTAGTAACAATTGTGGCCTGCATTTTGTGTAGAGCTAGTTTTTATTTGCTCTAAAGAAAAAAAAAATGGTTTGAGGGGATTGGATCCCACAACATTCTCTATTGTGCGTACAAGGGCTGGCATGCTACCACAAATCCAGCACATAGACTCCGTCGAGTACATCGCCTCAGCTAGTGCCTGAGTGCCTTAGCCGAGTCGATGTTTTGAACCTTCACATATAAAAGTTGTAGAAGCAAGAATAGTGACAACTTGCCCGTGTCCGAGCAAGAGCCCCAGCTAGGAAATGATTTCATGCCAACTCAGCTGGGTCCGAGCTAGCTCAGCGATGTTAAAATGCTGGCAAGGCCTATTCTAACACTTACTACAGTTAATAGAAATTCCAAAAATGCCAAATAATTCCATTTTAGTCCTAACAAATCTCATAATTCCATGGGGTCCTAACCCATGTTGGAAAAACCAGATATTCTAACCTGCCAAGTGGACATTTCAGGTTTCGAGTGGTTTAGGTGATTAGCCGATTTCTAAAAAAAAATTCAAAAAAATGAATATAAAATCCCAAAAATTAGGAATTATTTTGGACATTAATACTCACTTTTATATTTTCCCATCTTTTTTAAAAAAATTTAAAAATACACCTAGGTCCAAATCGATTCTTTAAAACCCACTTGTTTCATTAATTTTCAACTTCATTTGAATATGTTTTGTTTTAATCATTCTTTATATGTTTTTCATATTTTAGAAGATTTTTTTTGTATCTTTTTTTATTTGTTTCAACAATATTTTGACCTCCTGGGACTTGCCCGGTTAGAATGGTTGAATCGATCGGTTTATCGATTAGGCTGGTTAAAACGCTTCCGACCCTATGTCCAGTTAACCGTTCCGATTAGATTTTGCGAACACTGGTTCTAACCCCCTTTCCATGGATTTTGGTTTCTTTATGATATTAGGTGTCCAAACACAATACACTTACAAATTGCATCACTAATTATGGAAACAAAAGGAAAGACCTATAACTCTAATAAAAATAAGATGACCAAAATACCTCTGAAAGTTAAGGGTATTTTGGTCATTTTTATTTCATGGGGAATATTTTTTTATGTTTTTTGTAGGTGCAAGTTTAAGATAGGATGGGTGCCCGAAATTTAGTATCAATATCATTTCTAGAAAAAATTAAAATAAAATAGTGTTTAGGCTGTCCATTCGGATCAGACGACTGGGAGACGAGAGATGTATGTAAAATATAGGGAAAATTACAAAAAGAACCTTGAGACCACACTTTATATGCAACATATGCCGAACCAACCTTTTTCTCTGACTTTGTTCCCCAAGCCAAACTTTCTATACAAATACCCCTTAAGGGAAAAAGTTCATTTTTTTAGACGGAAATGCCCTTCCCGTACACAAAAATCAATTTGACCAGATTTGACGTTGACTTGTGGACGTTAGTAGCATATTGTCGGAGCGCACTATCACATTGCCAGAGCGCACAAGTATCGAACCACCCTAAGACAACTACCGGACCGAAACTGAGTACTGTCAGGCCCTTTACATAGTGTCAGAGCCTTGGAATCCAATAACATCTACTGTCGGGCCACCTTTTGCAACTACCGAACCTCTCTTTTCAATTGTTAGACCGCAATTTACACTGTGCCGAAGTCCTACTATCGGACCACACTTTACACAGTGCTGGAGCCCTACTGCCGGACCGCATTATACACAGTGTCGAAGCGCTACTGGGGGACCACACTTACACAGTGTCGGAGTCTCTATTTTGGTGGGATAGATGAGAGAGGCATATTTTGGTCGGATAGAGAGTAAAAGTAAAAGAGGGTAGTTTAGGTATTTTTTATTTTTTTATTTTTGGTTGAAACATAGAAAGTGTTTTGGGAAAAAAAGTGAAAAAAAAAATTAAATTGGAGGTAAATTGCATGACGAATATTGTAGGGGGTTTTTTATAATCTTCGCTAAAATATATGGGGGTGGCGACGTAAACCCCCAACGCATAAACCAATTTAGCGATGATATCAGACCAAGATACCATATGGACGGTGACAAAAAAGCTCCCCAAAAATGCACATTTTCAATTTTAAAAATTTTATTTTTCTCATTATTTGGCTTAGATCATGAATCCTCAAAAGATTGGATCAAAACTCCATATTGGACAAGCTTTAGAGAGGGGATGCACACCGTCGAAAACAAAAAAAACTCAAATATAAAATGTTCCGTCCAACTTGAATTCTTCCCCCGTGCGCTAGCACCAGATAAACAATTGCTAAAAGGTTTTCTACTCCCGCGGGAGCATATTATCCATTTACTCCCTCAGGATTAGACATGCTAAAAAATACTTTTTGGATCTCCAATTTAGGGATGCAATTTCTACTACCCATAAACTAATATCAATAAAAATAAAAATAAAATTCTGAAATAAACTCTTTTATGTAAAAAACAAAAATTATGCATAAAGATTTAATAGTGACTGTCCAATTCCTGAAGTGCTAGATCAAGTGTCACAAAACTTGAAATTCAAATTTTTTTTATTTTGAAAATAAGCTAGTAATTCTTATATGGTTACCAATATTTTAGACTAAAATAATCTTTCTATTTCGTAGGAGGGAGTAGTTACACAATATGCTTCCGCGAGAGCATAGTATTCGTTCTCAAAATAATCTACCCTCTATTTTACCCTTAGAAAAATGAGTTATTTCCACCCTTTTGTGATATTGGTTATTCTCTGTATCGGCGAGTGGTAGCATCGATGGGATGAGAGAGAGGATGCCTTCCCTTTCCAAGTCTAATCACAAGGCATCAACAGTCATGAGACCCACCTCAAACTCTTCTTCTTCTTCTTCTTCAGCTGGTAAATGGGTAACCAGCGTCTCCACCATCGCCTCTGGCATTTACTTCCTCCTAATCATTCTTCAGATCCCACTCTTCAGGTTATTCCTCTCTCTCTCTCTCTCTCTCTCTCTCTCTCTCTCTCACACACACATCCAAATTGTGGATTATGCGCGTATTCAATCGAACGATTGGTTCTTCTTCCTAATACACCTTGGCCATATAATTATAAACCAATTTGCTTCTCTGGTTTCTGTATCCATGGCTTTTCCTTTTGGAATCTCATAAGAAAACCATCTTTCTCCATGTGGAAATCTTAAATTGGGGTAGTTTTAGATCTGAGGGAAAAAAAAACCCTAAAAGTAGAAGAAAACCCATCCTTTTTCCATTGTAGAATATGATATTTTGTTCGTCAAATTTCTCCTTTCTTTGTTGTCTACTTGTCTCATTTCCGGAGATTAATGAATCTATCAGCATCTGGTGACTAATATGAGCATGTTAATTCAAAATTATAATCTCAAAGTGTATGCATTTGTTTTTTAGGGTAACTTCTTTTCTGGTCCTTTTCCATACTTAATTGACTATTAATGACAATGGCAATGTCGAGTACTCTAAATTGATCTCTTTATCCATGATTGATGCGCTTCCCTTCCATTACCATATGGAAAACTTCTCTCTATGAAGGACTTTCCCTCTCTCTCTCTCTATTTGTTCTTCTCTATGCTTGTGGTTTATTAAAATGACCAAGTTTGCTCCTTGAAATGTGGTGTCTTCAGAGTGCCATGCAGATCAGGGATGTGCAACTCGCCTCTCCAAGTGACGTCTTCACAGTTAATCGCAAGCGATGTCTTCCCCACTGTGGTGGTCAAGGCCCTTCTCTATCCTGGTGCCATCTCAAGCAGCCTCCTGTCAAACTTCACCTTCCCAAGTTGGGATAACACTCTTCACTTCTATAACTTAACAGATGCCAAGAACTACTCTGCAATTGTCGATCTTCAGCGTTTGGAGGTGATTATCTTTCAATCCCAACTCTCCCTCTCTCTCTGTCTCTCTCTCTCTCTCAACTTCTATTGTTTGGTTCTCAGGTACTTGCAGGATGCTACTTCTCTGTAGCTGGTGCTTTTGTGGGCCTATTGAAACCCGGAAGGATGAGCATGTTTGGAACTCTTCTAGTAGTTTGGGGCCTTGTCAAAGAAGGTATTCTTGGAAAACCTGCAACCACTGATCCCACAAAGGCAGTTTACATGTACCCAACAATGGTCATTGCACTGATTTGTGCCTTCTCCTCCATAAAGTATGACATGACAAAGGTAACTAGGAAGAGCCATGTTCGCCCAATGGCCAAGCCATTGCAGAGTTCTTCCAAGTCTAAACTGAAATGAGAGAGAGAGAGAGAGAGAGAGAGAGAGAGAGAGCTCAAAACCCTTGTAACAGAACATATCAGAGTCTTGATTTATTAAAATTGTGTTCTATGAACATTGTTAGTTCAGTTGAATCTCTCATGAATTATGAAGGAACAATGCAACAAACTTCTGTTTATTCTCTCAAAGATTATATGGAACCACTCTTTTGCTTTTGCTTTTGCTTTTGTTGGTAAGCAGCCATGCAGGTTCTAAAATTAAACTATTGTCTTAAAACAAAAACCCCACTATGAGGATTACATAAAATAACTGATTTTCCTGTTCTCTTGACACCTTTGACGAAGAAAATTTGGTACTTCGATGGCCTGTTGTCAAAATTTATATACCATTTCTTCCGTGTATCCAACTTCCTTTAGGAGGCCGGAGAGCTGCATGACACAAACCACCAGTAAGGTTTGAAACCAAGATCCAAAGAACTTAATTTGAGTTCATGCATAGAAAAGGGACTGTTTAGTCTAACAGACACTGCCAAACCATAGGCCACTGATGGACTATGGAAACCCCTATCCTATTGGAGTCATCACCATCCATATCTTTGGACAATGATGGCCTCAACTGGATATGATTTTCCATATTGCGTTGTACTATAGTAAAACTTCTCCTATTAGTGAAAAGGACATGCCACATTTAGTTATTTTCGATGTTCAGAAAGGGTTAAAAAAGGCGGAGGCAGGTGCCCATACACAAAGGCAGCCCGAGGGGAAGGGGTTGGGGTGGGGGCCATATGTTGTTTTGTGCATGTGTTTTGTAAATGTGTGTGTGTGCATGCGCATGTATGTGTGTGTGCAAGGTCTCGCATGGAATTCTTTAAGATCATCCTCTTTTTTTCTTTTGAATCTGTATTTGTGAGAGAAATGTCTCAAACACTTGGAGGATACGTCGAGAGAGAGGGAGGAAGAGAGAAAGAGAGATGAACCTCACATCGAACACTTGCAGGTCATCTTCTTCTTTCTCTTCTTCTTACATGTAAAAAGGGAGCATATGGGTCTATATATGTTGTGAGTGTGAGTGTGAGTGTGTGTGTCTATGTGAGAGAGAGAGAGAGAGGCCACGCATCGAACACTTTAAGTCCATCTTCTCCTCTTCTCATATGTAGAGAGAGCACATGGACGAGAGAGAGAGAGAGAGAGAGGAGGAGAAGGCAAT